CCTGAATGATCAGCATAAAAACAACATTCTTCCTTTATTGCTACACACAGGCTCACTTGGCTTGCTTCGTTACTGGCGCAGCCCCATCCCAGGTGGGAGCGCTGGCTGCCCCATCCCCTGGCTCATCTGGTGGGACTGGGAGGGCGGATGTCCCCGGCTGCACTTGTGCACAATTTGCTGTGGCCGCACCTTTCTTCCTTTCCCCCAGGGACAAGGAGGATGTGGGCAATGGAGGCCGGAGCACCAGCACTGCTTTTCTTCCTTCTCCCAGGGGACGCGCTGCATCCAGCCTGGCCTGGCCAGCAGATGGGTGGGCAGGCGGGCCTTGAGGGGCATCTCTCAAGCTGAGAGGGGTGGCAGAGGGGCCCATGTGCAGCAGCCCCGGGACTTCTGCCTGTCCCACCTTCCCGGAATACCACCACTGTGGATGGTCACTTTCTTCCTTTCGTCCCCCAGGACCGCCGCCACACGCGTCCTCCTCCTGGGAGGAAAGAAAGAAAGGCACGGCCGCAGCATGCTCGGGCCTCCATTGCCTGCATTCTCCTTCTCTCCGGGGAAAGGAAGAAAGGCACGGGCACAGCATGCTTGGGCCTCCGTTGCCCACGTCCTCCTCCTCCCGGGAAGAAAGGAAAAAAGGCATGGCCACAGAATGCTCTGGCCTCCACCGCCCCCCATGCCGCCCCCACTGCCTGCTTTCTGCCTTCTCATGCCACCTGCTGCTCTGGAGCTCACCTGATCATTTTGTCCCAGTCAGATCAGGTGTGTGTGTGTGTGTGTGTGTGAGAGAGAGAGACCAAGCCTCGGGGACGGTGAGGGAAGACTGGCCACTGAACTAAGTGCCAAGACGTGACTTGTGTCTCCGTAGCGGTGCAAAGCGATCGTCCTTGAGCAAACGGTAGTGTGTTCCCCTGCTTGCTTTCCTGGGCTTTCTCGCATCTCTTTTCCTCCTTTCCCCATTCTGCATCTTTGGAGCTTGTCCTGGAGGTGGAAAGAGCCAGGGCACCAAGTAAGTCATCTAGAGACTATCCTTCCCATCCCCCCAGCCCCGTTTCTATCTTGCCATCGAGGGCCGGACCCAATGCAAAACGTGCATAGCCTCAGTGCCTCAAGTCCAGATTGCTGGACACTGTCTGGGGGTGTTTGTGCAGCCCTTGTGGCATCTGCTGTGATGGGCATACATGAGGTTTTAGCTCCTTGGGGGTTACCGGCTTTCCCGGCTTCCTGTGCCGGATCGGAATGCCCCATTTTCTGGGAGTCAGTGGGGCTGCAGACCACAGAAGGCTCTCCTCTTGATCGGGGAAGGGAACTGGGCAGTTGGAACCTGCTGCGGCCGAAGGAGAAAGTGGCATTGGGCTTTTTGTGAAGGGAGGAAACATGAAACATTTCATCCCCCAGGAGAAGCTACCAACAGCAGAGTGCTCTGACCGACTGCCTCCCATAGTAGCACCCGCTGCAGCAGTGTCTCTGCTGCCCTCCCGACCAGGTGTGTGTGTATGTGTGAGAGAGAGAGAGAGGGAGAGAAAGAAAGAGCAAGAAAGAAAGAAAAAAAGAAAAAGAAATAGGAAGGAAGGGGGGGAGAGAGAGAAAACTCTGTGCTATTTTTAATTGACAAGAAATGGCTGGGAGGGTAGGGGCCAGGCGAGGCACCCCTTGTCATGAGCGACATTGAGTTGGCCACACCCACCCAGTCACATGACCACTAAGCACACTCACCCCACCCCAGGCACATGACCATCAAGCCACGCCCACCAAATAAGCCATGCCCACAGAACCAATAGTAAAAATTTTTGAATTCCCACCACTGTATAACAGGTATTTTGAAATTTTCAGAATAAGTTTTAGATTTAATTGCCTGATAATCCATATATTTACATACTGATTTAAGATTGATACTACTGGTTGATAAAATGTGGATAATTTCTAGGAATGAGATCCAAATTTAAATTGATGTTATAAAATCACTGGATAAAATTAGAACCTCTTCCTGTGTAGTTCCTCTGTGTAAAACCATTTATTCCATCCACTTGAAATATATGGTTGATTTTTTTAAATATTAGAGCTTTAGTTTTAAGTTCAGAGTGTCATTGTACTGTATATAGTTACAACAATATTCCGCAAGAAAAGGCTATGATAATTATAGAATACATTTTGAGAAAAAGGAAGAATGCTTTCAGAACTTCCAACTTGTTTTTTGGCAGATAGCATCATTTTTTCTGCTTTGAATACATAGGTATTGGCAGAATTCTGGCAAACCATGACATGGAATTCTGTTATTGAATTCAGCTTCATAGATTGTTTTTAGCCTTCTCATCACATGAGAAAATTCCTTTTGAAGGAAATAATATTAGATAAATTAATAATTTTATGTAATTAAAATTTTATGTAATTCTGTCCTTGGAGAGTTTAAGATATTTTTTTAACTTTCACAATGAGATAATTGCATTTGTCTTGGGAATAGTGATCAAAAGCAATCTATCATTTAGATGTCCACATTCCAAAAATGGATAGTCAATCCTTGTCTACCTATTCCACTCTTCTTTAAATGTTATGCCATTGGGATAAATCACAATATTTTAAAGACATTTAAAGCAAATGAATGTAATGAAGATTCAGTTGTAGACAGTACAAATAAGAGTTATAAATTAGATGTACAAGGCATGAGGTTATAAACTGGGAGGCTGTGAGTTCCAGTCCCACTTTAGGCATGAGAAGCTAGGTGACTTTAGCCCAGTCACTTCTCTCAGCCCAACTCATCTCACAGGGTTGTTGTAGGAAAAGTAGAAGGAAGAAATATTTGGTATGTTTGCTACCTTGAGTTATTTATAAAAATAATATCATGAAATAAATTTCAGAAAGTCCTTTTCATCCCAGAGAAATCGTGCAACAAACATAAAGAATGGCTGTTTAAATGTATAAATATTACTTGATGCATACTCTCAAAATGTCAAAGGCATTTTTAAAAGTTACTGTATTCTTTACAGTATCTTTATCATCAAGCTCCCCTATTTGCTAATAACTAGCCTAGATTTGGCAGAGGTTTTGAGGGGCAGGATGTAATACTAGTGAGACAAACTATTGTACAATTTTCTTGGTTTCTATGGAGAGAAAAGCTTTTTTGTTTTCTTATTTTAACTCTGTTTCACCAAGACAAATTCCCCATGTGTCCAATCACACTTGGCCAATAAAGAATTCTATTCTATTCTTTTGATTCAGGATGCATATTTTGAGGATTTCCTACTACAACTTGGCAGAAAATCTTGCCATAACTTGGATTGATGGATAGATGCAGGGGAGAGAAAGAGATACTTGGCACAACCAATCAGCTGGCATTGCGTCAGGAACATCTGCACAGAATAGGAGATCAGAGGTTTTGAAATTCACCAAGACCCTGCCTGCCCTCTTTCTTCACTAATGTATAATCTTCTAGGTTGGAAGCCTCCATACTTTGTGAGGAGCTTCCAGCTCTTCGCATTGGCACTTTCTATGTCCTTTGGTCAGCTCACTATACCAGCAGGGTATCTGATGACTCATGGGACATACATGTTGATGGTGTAGAACTTCTTGTTCCTATTGAGGTGGCTTTGCAGGACTTGGTTGCTGCTATGTTCCTTGCTTCCTTATCATTGTTTCCATGTGACTGTGGGATACCAAGGTATTTGTAACTAGTCTGTATGTCTGGTATATGGCCCACAGTGTAGTTCCACTCCCATCAGTCTTAACTACCTTCCTTCTCTTTACTACCCACCTGGCCACCCTTCTCTACTCCAAATGACATCCCAGTGGTCCTCACTGTAAATCTGTGTCAGGTGGATTAGCAAATTAATGTGTCATTCACTCTTAGCATACAGCTTGATGTGATCATCTATGTAGAGAAGGTGGTTGATAGTTGTTCCACTTTTGAACTTTTATCCCTAAGCAGTCCTTGGATTATCTGGCTGAGGGATTTCAAACCAATGAAGAATAGCAGAAGACAATACATCCTGTTGGTATTCACATTGGTATCAATAACATTAGTTATTTGATGTATATTTATTGCAATGTATTGCATTTGTATTGTTTTCACTTATTTTCTTTTCTTGTGATTTATATGCATGTGTATATTCAAGAGGGGAATCTTTAAATGTCATATAACTTCAGTTATTTGGTATATATGTATGCCAAGGTATTTTGTGTGTGTCTGTGTGTGTGTGTTTGTAATGTATGTATGTATGTATGTATGTATGTATGTATGTATGATTTTTAAAGAAAGGTATTGAAACTAAAATTGCCAATATGCCTTTTATGAACTTTTTTTGTTAAAAATATTACATATTTTACATAAATATGGAGCTGAAAGGTGACCAATAACAGATTAAATTGTAAATAAAAATAATCAAAGACCTAAAGAGCAAATTATTTTGTGAACAGCTTATGGATCCTCAGTATCTTAGCAGACAACTGGAGTGTTTCAGTATTCTGTTTCATTTTCTCAGTAATTTAGTAGTGCAATTTTTACAAGTATTTTACTAGTGCTTAAGGCACCAGGCTATAAAGCGAGAAATAATGAGTTCAAGTGCCTCCTTAGTCATTAAGGCCATCTGGGTCACCCTTTCTCTCTCTACTCAATCCACGTTACAGGGTTGTTGTTGTAGGGAAAACAGGAAAGAGTATTGTGTGTGTTCGCTGCCTTGAGTTATTCATAAATATAATAAAGGCAGAATATAAATAGTGTACTCGCTAAGCATTTTTAGTCCAGTAGTTCTTCTATTTGAATAGCAGCATATTCAGTCTTCATTTTATATTCATGTGGAAATAAATTATATTGAAATTATATCTTTTAATTTGTAAATCTAACCCACCCACCCTCACCCCTGTAAATTGCATTTAGTTCCCTGTAGGGCAGCCTCCTTTTCTTACCCATGTTTTGATAATAATCATTGTCATTGGAGTAAAATGTTTCCTCCTAGCAATTAAAAAGTTGAACATTTACAGTCTGAACAATATAATCTACCATATCCACACCTGCAAACACCTGTTTTTGCAAGTTCAGACCTAGAAACCTCTTTTCAAGGGACTGGGAAATAGTCTAGGGATTTGTCACAGATGGGTGAATGTGACTACCTTTAAATTACCCTTGATCTTCCAGGCTTCTATATTTGGTCTTTTATGTATAATGCTAAAGTAATGCCAAACTATATTATGGGTTGTTTCCAAAACAAACAATCACTCGTTTTCCCAGAACAAACAATTTGAACATAATTTGCTATTAATTTATAGTATTGGGCTTGTTCACACCATGATCTTTTATTGCATCTAATCTCTAAATATATGGTGTATCTTTTTCTGTGTCAGTGTGCCACAGAATATCTGAGCAAGAGACACAGGGGACAATACTCTCTAGCCGAGAAAAGTAAGATTAACCCTGAAAGAGTTCTCCCCATTATGCCCCATTTTTCTCCCTGGCTGCCATCTAATAAACTTGATAAGGAAGTGAACACAAAGAAAAGCTCCTAGAGGGTGGGTGGCCAAGATTTAATTTTCCAGCTAGGATCACTAAAAAAATTGGTTTGGGGTTGCACATGTCTCAAGAAATACTTTTTAGGGATTTTAGCTGACCTGAAGCTGCAGAATCATGCATTCACAAGAAAATAATTCCTTCCCTTCCTATTCTAAATTTTACTTTTTCCTTTGCTATAAGTTTTCTATAAGTGAAGTAATTAGCTAACTTTAGAGGTTTTATTATTACTGGGGAAGGGAGCAGGTGATGAAGGGGATTGAGAATGGGGCTTGAATAAAAACTGGCCATCAAGATATCTATGAAAGGATGCTACATATGCAGCTTTAGCTAACACAATACCATCTGAGAATGCAAAGACTGGGACGATGAGAAAAGAGAAAAAGGCAAACAATAATTTGGTTACTGGTCTCATTCAGGAAACAAATAGATGCCTTGAAATAACATTGAACAGGAATAGAAAAGAAGTTTTGAACCCTGCACCCCCTGCAGCATCATTTACTGGACACGCTGGCTGCAACTGTTTCAGGCTGCAACTTGGGAACATCCAAAGGGCCCTAAACACCATACAAGATACCAAATGTTCAGATAAAGCTGTTTAAAATATTAGAATGTTTAGGTGGATATGGTCATTTAATGTCTCTGCTGTCAAACATTCTGGGCAGGAGGTAACAAGTGTGGTTCACTAGGTTCCCAATTCAGGATTGCCTTTATAGTAGAGTTCTCAGAAATACTAGTTGTTCCTTTGCACAGGTTCAGCTAAACAGGCACAGCTCAGTTTATATAAGGGAAATTCAAGCTTTATCAAACAAGGAAGGGAAAGCATGCAAAATATGGCTTCTTGAATTCTTTCCAATCCCTTAAAAATAACTTTGGTCTTATGAAGAAAAGTGGGCTTAGAATAGAACAAGCCACTGCCCAGTACCTCTCCTTAGTTATAGCAATAGCACTTAGGCTTATCCCAAAGATGCTTCTTCCTTCAAAGGCAACTTTTCTTTCAAAGGACTTTCCTGTTTTGCTTGAAGACATTTTGCTTCTTGGCAAAGAAGCATCTTCAGTTCTGATTGAATGGAGAAAGAAAGGATTTCCCATTCAGTCAGAACAGAAGAAGTTTCTTAGACGAGAAACGGAATGTCTTCAAGCAAAACAAGAAAACCCAGTTGCCTTTTAAAAGAAAGCACCTTTGGGACAATCATGACCTGGATGACTGAGAATCTCCATAGAAACTGAAGACTTATATACT